GGAATGGTACCATAGTGTCTTCCCACGTCAATGAACAAAGCCGAGAAACTCCTCCATGGACATGACTAGAGATCAATGGAATCTAGACAAGCTTTGTCTAAGATTCCTTTCTTGGGTGATTCTATACCATGTCAGGTTGACAATTAACACTAACTATTATACCCAGCCTAAAGATAATGGATTGAAGGGTCAGAGAGATAGCTCAGAGGTTAAGGGCACTGACCACTCTTCCAGAGGACACTGATTTTATTCTCGCAACTCACATGGTGGCTCACCACCATCTGTAACTCCAGTTTCAAGGGATCTGATGTCCTCTTCTTCTGGTCTTTAAGGGCACACAAGTGGTACACAGATACACATGTAGGAAAACCACACACATACACAGTAAAATAAACAGATCTAAAGACAGATAAAAGGCCTTGCATTTCTTAGATCCACCCATTCTATTTCCTTGGGTGGCTTGATTACATCTCTGATGCTCACTTGCTTCATTTATAAATGGGGGTAATAGTGTTTGCTTCATAAGATAGTCATAAGACTGTCTCTTCCTTCTCCCCACTTCTCCCCTTCCCCCCACTCTACTTCCCTCTCTCTCTGCTCTTTCCCCTTCTCTTCTTCCCTTCCATAACCCACTAAATAAAATTAAAAAAAAGATAGTCATGAGACTTAGCATCTCCTCTGATGAATAGTCAAAGGTCTGGTAAAAGCTGATATTCTCACTTGTTTATTGACCTGTAAGGTAGATGTTGTCCTGGAGATCCTTGGGTGAACATACCTCATTTGGCCGTAGCTAGACAGGGAACATAGCAGCTTGAAGCTGGCCCTGTGGGTGACTGACTAGATTATTGCTCCCAGTTATTTATATCTTCCTACAATAGGATTAAACATTGCCGTTTGTCATGCGACCTTCCTCATCATCCTATATGGGAACCATTTCTCTCTGGACCTATTCTGGGTTTATCTTTATGACATGCTTTCAGTAAAGGCATGGGAGCAGGTGTGGCATCCTTTGAGCTTGAAATGTTAGTGTTGTTACATGGTTTGGCTCAGGCTCTCCCTCTCTGCCCTTAAGAAACACACATCCCCACCGCTGGTACATAGTAGAAGCTAAATATATATTGAATTTTTTTTTATGTACCAGACACTGTATCATACGTAATGTATGTCTACATGGGTGTAATGGTTAGTGTTAATGTCAGCTTGACAAAATCAAAAATTCCCTGGGGAATGGTTCTCTGGGCATGCCTGTGGGGAATTACCTCCTCCTCCTTCTCCTCCTCCTCCTCCTTCTTCTTTTTCGAGACAGGGTTTCTCTGTAGCTATGGACTCTATCCTGGAACTAGCTCTTGTAGACCAGGCTGGCCTTGAACTCACAGAGATCCACCTGTCTCTGCCTCCCGAGTGCTGGGATTAAAGGCGTGTGCCACCACCACCCGGTCCTGGGAATTACCTTCTTTAAAAAATATTTATTTTTGTTATTTTTATGCCCAAGTGTCATGACTTGAACAGCTTAAAGACCGACCTATCTGGGTCTCTGGGGAATGAAGAAATGACAGACACCCACACAGAGAAGTTGGGCTTGATAGGCTGTGCACTTGGATGGAGACTCACCAACAACTACCTAGAAATTCAGCTCATTTCTTATATGCCGCAAATGAAGAGGAGGCTGGTTACCTAATCTCTGTGGGATCCATAGACTCTGTGGGGGAGCAGTCTCAGGCTGTGGTCCATCCAGAGGAGGAAGCTGACATGAGTGAGCAGCTGCTCTAAGCCCTATACCTTGACTCCCCTGTCATGATGGAAGGGATCCTGGAACTGCATGTGTGGCTGTGTACCACATACTTGCCTAGTGCCCATCAAGTTCAGAAGGGGGCATCAGATCTCTTGGAACTGGAGTTACAGATGGTTGTGAGCCACCATGTAGAGGCTAGGATTGAACCTGGATCCTCTGGAAGAGCAGCCAGTGCTCTTAACCACTGAGCCACTTCTTTAGCCCTTGTCAGAATATTTTAAAGCATACATTTATTTATTTATCTATTTATTTATTTATTGTGTGTGTGTGCACACACACGCATGTGCCTGCCACTTTTGGGAGGCTGTTATCTCCTTCCCCATGGATTCTGGGCACTGGATTCAGGCCTCAGGTTTGGTGGTAGGGTCCTTTACTAGCTGATCTATCTCTCTTGCCCTTGAATGAGTCTTTTATCACAGCAAAAGCAAAGAAACTAAGACAGCATATTAATTCATTTTATCTTCACAAACCCCTGAAGTGTGGGTCCTGTGATTATTACTGCTGTTTCACATATACAGATAATTGCAAGTCACTGAAGTGAGCATTTTGCTCCCAGTTACACTGCAGGAAGGGGAAGTTTATCTTTCCTGTCCATCTTCTTAGCCACTGTCCTGTGTTGCTTCTTCTAGTAGGTGATCGACAAATGCTGGTTAAATAAATGTTTGTTTAAAAGACTATCACCACTACACCATTGTCCCCCTCCATTCACGGAAGTGCAGAGGGTGCAATGTTTTGGGGAAAAAAAACAGTCTTCTGACTTTGTTTTTCTTTTTTCTTTTGTCTTCTGAATTTGGGCTTGGTCATCCTTCCTATCTCATGCTCTCTCTCTTTTTTATTTTAATAAATTTATTTATTTATTTTACATCCTGAACAGTTTCACCTCCCTCCTCTCCTCCCAGTCCTCCCCAACCCCCAGTCTCTGTTCCTACCCCCTAATCCACTCCTCTTCCATTTCTGTTTAGGAAAGGGCAGGTCTCCCATGAGTAGCAACAAAAATATGGCATAACATGTTGCAGTAAGACTAAGCATCTCTACATGTATTAAGGCTGGGCAAGATGACCATGTATGAGGAGTAGGGTCTCAAAAGCCAGTAAGAGTCAGAGATAGCCCCTGCTCCCAGTTATGAGTTCCACAAGAAGACCAAGTGGCTATTGGTCATTCAGTTTTTATTTGACTAATCAGGCAGGCAAGGAAAAACAGCAGCACATCTTTGCATAGTTAAACAAATATTCTGCAACATACTTAGGATTAGTGTAGTTAATTAATGTAGTGTAGAAGCTCTTTGATGGAGACACTCAGTGGGGGAAGCTGGACTCTGCTAGGCATTGTCAGCACCTGATCTGATGATGCTTCTATCTGCTCCTTGCCATTTCTTCTTTTACTTTGGCTGACTACCCACTTAACATACTCACTCATTTGGAACTGAGAGCACAGGGGCTGGAGAGATGGCTCCATGGTTAGCAGCACTGGCTGCTCTTCCAGAGGACTTGGGGTTCAATTCCTAGCACCCTAATGGTAGCTCACAATCATCTCCAGTACCAGGGGCTCCCACATCCTCTTCTGACTTCACGTATATGATGCACAGACATACACGCAAGCAAAACGCCGATATACATAAAATAATAACAATACAATAATTGAAATGGAAATCATGGCTATTGTAGAACATTCTTTGGACTATACAGAATTAGGGACCATGTGGGTGGACTGAGGACAGAACTAAAAGAGAACCCAGTTGTCCTGTCTGTCACCCAGGATTCTTCTTTCTGGTCGGCCTAGTGGCTAATGTTCTTCCTGCTCAGCCCAGCCTCTCTCAGCCCTTCTTGCCTCTTCTGCACTTGCTCTTGTCTGCTTTCCTTTGCTCCCTCCCCTTTCATGCCAGCTGTGGGACTGAGCACCCCCCCCCCCCCATTCTGGCAGCCTAGAGCCAGACAATGGGCCGTTGTTCTGGGTAAAGAATCCCTGCAGTGTATCCCACCCACTGAAACCCTCATCCAGGCCCAGGGTGGTGTGGGTGAGGGGCAGAAGCAACTGGTTGGCAGGACGGGGAATGGCCTTGGCTGTGGAGCCCACAGGGGCTCGCTATATAAGCACCGCTCACGGTAACCATCTGTCTTCCTACTCGCTGCTCTGTGTCTCCAGTAGTCTCAGAGCCACACAAGTTCCGAGTTTTATGCATTTACCTTGATCTTGTCTCATTCTTGCTGTTCACATCTGTATCTTATTACCTCTTTCTTTTTTCTGCTTTTTTTTTCAAAGCCATTCCCTTTCTTTCTATTCCTATACATTTATTTAGAAACAGGAGCTCATTGTGTATCCGTGGTAGCCTGGAGCTTGCTACGTAGGTAAAACTGGCTTTGAACATCATTGGTCACATCGCCCATGTCTTGCAGGGGCTAGGATTATAGGTGTGAATCAACGCACCTGCTTTCTTTCTGCTTCTTTATGTAACTTTCTATACTCACCCCTCTTTCTTTCTTTTTTTGAGACAAGGTCTCACTAAGTAGCTCCAAATGTCTGAAACTCCCTATGTAGATCAGGCTGGCCTCAAATTCACAGAGTTCAGCCTGCCTCTGGCTCTCAGTGCTGGGATTAAAGGTGTGCGCTATCATGCCCGGCTTTATCTCTACTTCTTACTTCATCAGTTATCTAGTTCTTTTTTTTTAATTTTATGTGCATGAATGTTCTTCCTGCATCCATGTGTGTGCACCACATGCATGCCTGTTGGATCCCCCGGAACTGGTGTTATGGAGCCACCCTATAGACGCTGGGTATTGAACCCTAATCCTTAGCAAGAGCACAAGTACTCTTAACTACTGAGCCGCCTCTCCAGCCCTTCATCAAGCTGTTTCTTTATCTTTCCTAGTACATCCCAGGGGCCCCTGAGATTGATATGGGATTTATTCTTCCCACTTTACAAGTTTGGAAGCTGAGGCATTGGTTGCTGGCACCAGGCTCCCAACCCTGGTCTCTCCTTTTTATGCACTCACTATGCTCTCGTCCCCCAAGGTGCCCACCTACAACCTGAACGAGGCATGGCCAAGGACCTAGCACCTTGGACAGCTCCTGCAAGGTGAGGGGGCGGGCGGGCGGGCGGGGGCGGGTGTGAGAAGACGACGAATGAGCTTTTCTTCTCGCGAGCACCAGTGGAATGGCCCTAGGAGCCTAGTGGGAATCTCGCGAGAGTGGTTGCAGCAGGCACAGTGGCGCGGGAGCGCGCAGGGCCCGCCTCGGACGCGCGCGCACGCTCCCCGCCCCCAATCCGGGAGCCGCTGGCGGCCGGCTCCGCGCCTCATCGCCGGGTGCAGCGCAGCTCAGCTCGGTGCAACACGACTGCTTTTCTGCAGCGGAGTGGTCGGGGCTGGTGAGTCCTGGGCCTGGAGACCCAAGGAGGGTTCTGCAGGGAAACTGCGAGCTGGGCTGGAGAGGCACCCGCGGCTCCGGTTTCTTGCCTTCAAAGCGTGTCCCTTTGCATTTGAGGGGGCAAGCCTAGGTGCTGGAGAAGTGGGGAGTCGAGATGACCTTCCTGTTTGGGGCAGCCCTAAACCCTCTTCCCCATCCCCAGTTTTCTCATCTGTCCCCGCTTAGAGAGCCCGGGATTTGGGTGACGTCAGACCCTTGGATGCTGGCGCCTGGGCCCTCTTCTCCACAACCCCCAGTTCCACCTGGCATTCTCTGGAAACCGGCCTACCCCCCTTTTGGGATGGCGCATGCGGCCGGGGGTGGAGGCAGCTGGGGTCGGGTGACTGTGGTATCACTAAAGGTGCCTGCAGGTGGACCCAAGTTGTACTCACCTCTGGGCGGCCGACCTTTGTACCGCGGGTCTGAGCAGCCTGATTTTCGGAGGAGGGGGGGATGGGTGCACTGACTAGGGCCCGGATACTACCTAGGCTTTGGATAGTGGGATAGGGGTGCTGGATGTAGCGCATCCAACATTGTCACCAGTTGGTCACGAGGAAGGAGGGGAGACGTGTAGGAACCAATCTCTGTCCTTGCTTTGGGGTTCTCCTGATCTGGAGGCCGGGGGAGTCAATAAGACTAGGACTGAAAATGGACTGTCCAAGGCCTCTTAAACCTGCGCGTTGTCCCAGCTTGAGAAGCTCAGCAAAGGCCTGGGCAGGAGACAGAGAGGAGAGGCATGAGCTGTCAGTAGGACTACCTGGAGGTGGGGTTTGGAAGGAGGCAGAGCAAGAGAGGGCTTCTCAATGTGGTGGTATGGGCCAAGTCCAGGGTGGGAATGAAGAACAGATGCTCCCCCCAGCCTGTCTGTGGTGTGTCTGGGGGAGGGGTGGTCTAGAGAAATTTGCAGCCTGTACTTTACCCATTATGTCTTCACCGTCAGGGCTGTGAAAGGGGAAATGGTTCTGGCAGAGGCACGGTTGGCAGAGAGATTTTGCTTGGGGTTGCTAGTTTAGGTTCTGTGGAAACTTGGAAAGACAGGCAGCCAACTCTCTATTGCTGAGAGAGAACCATGTCATGAACGGGCCACAGGAAATGGAGGGGAACTTTCTATTAGGGGCTTTGTGACTCGCTTTTCTTTCTTTCTTTTTTCTTGTAAGTTTTTTTAAAAATTGTATTTATTTTATATGTATGGGTGTTTGCCTGCATGTATGTATGCAGTGCCCTCAGAAGACAGGAGACAGCATAGGAGCCCCTAGAACTAGAGTTATAGACGATTGTGATGTGAACTGCCTTATGGGTACTGGGACTCGAACTTGGGTCCTCTGGAAGAGCAGCCAGTGATCTTAACCACTGAGCCATCTCTCCAGCCCCAGTGTGGCTGTTTCTTTAGCCCTCTCTCTGGCTGGTCACTGCTGAACAATTTGGTTCCCCTCTCTGTGTATCTTTCTGTTAACCCTTTCTGAGGGACAAAATAATTGGACTAAGTAGTGACCTCCCTTGAGGAGGTGGTGTGTTCTTTTTGAGAAGAACCCTCCGAGTTCCTCCTTTTCCCTCTTCTCTTTGCCTATCCGGCCTCCTCCCCACCAGACTTCCTCTCCAAGCTGCGCTTCCTGCCTTGCTGTCAGTCTGGACTCAAGTTTCCTGTAGGAAGTATGATGCGGCTGGGTTAACAGAAGTGTTGGCCTTAGCCTGTCTAGGGGAAGGCATTAATCTTCCCACTCCCATACCCTGGGAGGGTATCCAAGTGTGAGGTACTAAATATGGGCCTCTTTGGCCTGATCTGAAACCTCCTCTCCACCATGGACCTGACCTCCCCTACTGCAGGACCTGTTCCCACCAACTTCATACTAAGGAGTGGAGGAAATTACCATCTGTGCTCAACCTCCAGATGATATGGAACTCAGTGGGATGGCACATGCCTGTAATCCCAGCAGTTGGGAGACCGAGGCAAGAGGATTTGGGGGAAATTTAAAGTTAACCCCGGGCTCCTGAGCAAGGCTCTGTAATCAACACAGAATAGCCTCCATCTGAGAGGGACGAAGGAGAGACGGGCTGAGTGAGCTAAGCCCCCAGTGACTGCTGTAGAGTTTCTGCAGTAGGCTGCAGAGCAGGGATGTCTAGGAAGCCTTCCCAGAAGAGGTGTGAGACGAGGGGATAGGGCTGCTGGTTTGGGGGTCACCGAGGTGGCTAGACATGATATTCTGGGTGATAGAAACTGGACAGCTTGTGGTATAGAAACAGGCTATCGGGGAGGGGGTATTTGTAGCTGATTGGTATAAAGCTTCGAATGCCAGGTGCAGGATCTGTAGGAGGCCATTACAGCGTCATCAGCGTGGTAGCATGGCCAGGCGGGTGCTGTTTTCTGAGGGTGATTCACAGTTTTGGGGCTTTGGGACTACAGATGGATTAGATAGACTCTAGACAAGGATAAAGGGGTCAGAGGTAGAGCAGGAAGTAAAGCTTCCATCTTGCCTATAGGCTGTGGGTAAATAGAAGAATGACCATCTTTTGTCAGAAGATGAGGGGCCTTTGCTGGCAAGCTGGGAGCGCTTGGAACTAAGTAGTCCCAGGCTCCTGGCTGGACCGGAAGCCAGGCTTGACTTCCTTCTGTCTACCAGGCACCTTATTTTTACTACCGCGGGAGCAGTCACTCTAAGGGTCTGAATAAATTACAGTCTAGCTTACACGGAGTCAGATGTAATGATGTGTCCCTGTAATCTCAGCAGCCGGAAGGCTGAGGTAGGATTGCTGAAATTTCAGGGCCAGTTTGGCCTCAGTAGTGACTTTCAGGACAGCCAGGGCCACCTAGCAAGAGCCTGTGTCAAAACAAACTAGAACAAAAACAAAACAAATTTCAGATTATATTTGGTATTTTATTTGATAATAAGATGTTTTATTAAACCCATATTTTTCGGGAGCAATGTAACATGCACCCAGTTACAAAGGATTCTCACTTGAGGAACAAATTGCTACTTCTCCATGTAAGACATTTGGTTACAAAAGCCAGCATTTTCTTTATCTTATATCACTCATTCCCTCACGCCTATATCATCCCCTCCCCCAAGAAAAAGGTAGTTTTGTCCTAAGGACAACGAACCCTGCAGACTCCCGTTTCTGTGATTTCAGCCTCCTGTAACCCTTCTGAGCCCTAACTTTGCCTTTACCTTCAGCAGGCGAACCAGGCTTCTGCCCTGCATTATTCCCATGTGGCTTGTTGACTTCTCCGTCATGGTGAGCTTGCCTTTGAGAGACAACTTGGGGTCCATGACAAGGGTCAGGCTGGAGCCAGAATCAGGGGAGCACCCTCCCTTGAGGCTCCTTTAATTCAGTTTTTACTCCCTTTCCTGCTGGTCTTCCTTGGTTTTTTTCTGGAGGACTTTATTGTGGGAGCAGGCTCTCATTCCATATCCCGTTCTGTTAGGGAAGGTTGCCTCCTCCAGCCCAGCCCGAGTCTTGTTATCATTGGCGTAGAGTCACTTACTGCAGGGACTTACCCGCTGTGGGCCACAGGGCTGGACAGGGGACCCGCTGTCTTCTAACATCTCTGTTTTCTCTATTGCATGAGCAGTGCCCGTCTGTGTCCTCGGTCTCCATGCCCTCAATCACTGGGCCGTTTTGCCTACATGCCCTACCCAGAAGCCCCAGTTCTGGATTCTACACGCGGAATGAGGGAAACTTCTGGAGACGTCAGACCAGGACAGTCTAACTCTGCTTCCAGCAGCGTGTCCTGTCTTAGTCATCACCTTGTGTCACCTAGAAAGCCTGGACACTCTTCCCTCATTCTCATCTGCTCTGCAGTCAGTGCCATGGCAGGAATAGTCCAAGCTGCACTGTTTTCCCAAAGTCTCTTTTTCAGGTAGAGAGTGATCAGGGTGTCCTAAGGGAGGCAGAGCTATACCCATGTTCCTGCCCCTCTGCCTATCCTTGTGTTCTTTTTTAAAATAAGAATCTTAAAATTTTATTTTTATTTTATGTACATGAGTGTTTTGTCTGCTTGCCTGGTGCCTTTGGGGGCCAGAAGAGGGTCTTGAATCCCCTAAACTGGAGTTAGAGATGGTTGCGAGCGGCCATGTGGGTGCTGGGGATTGAGCTCTGGAAGAGCAGCCAGTGCTCTTAACATCTGTATCATATCTCCAGCCCTTTCTTCTTCCTTTTCTCGCTCTGTTTTCCTTGAGACAGGGCCTCACCACGTAGCCCAGGCTGTTGTCCTGTACATGTTGCTCTTCCTTCCTCACCTTTCAAGTGCCGGGATTATACACATGCTCAACAACACTGGGCATTTTTCATGCCTCTTTCTTTCTCTTTTGGTTTTTCAAGACAGGGTTTCTCTGCCCTGGATGCCCTAGAACTCGCTCTGTAGACCAGGCTGGCCTTGCCCTCTACCTCCCCAGTGCATGAGCTGCCAACACCCTCATGCATCTCTTGAATTCTAGTAAGGAATAGCCTTGTGGAAAAGCCTACTCGGTACTGTGGATACCGACCCTTCGTTTCCCCCGGAGTACCTCTGCCCATCAGTTTCTCCCCTCCTCCGCAGTATCTTGAGCCTCTCTACTGATTTCTTTGCTATCTTTCTCCTGATTGGTAGATGTAGTTAAGATTCCTAACCTGGAAGAGAGAGCTCTCTAGCCCAGTGTCATATCTGTTGTAGTTTTGCTCGTTTCTTGAACCAGGGTCTCATGCTGCAGTCCAGGCTCAACTCAACCTCATTTTTTGCAGGAGATGGGGGTTATAGGGATGTTCTCATGTAGCTCAGGATAGCCTGTAACTCACTGTGTAGCTGACAACGACCTGGAACTGATCCTCTTGCCTCTACCTCCCAAGTACTAGAATTATGGGTGTGTTCCACCACACCCATTTTGTAGGGTGTTAGAGATTGAACTCTGGACCTTGTGCAGACAAAGAGCTACAGCCCAGCCCTGGTCTTGTTTGCTTTTGATATGTGCTCTTGTTCTGTAGCCCAGG